CAGTTATACTGTCTTTAATGATGTTGATCGCGTCTTCGATGTATAGATTAAAAAGTAGCAGTGACAGTGTGCATCCCTGTCTGACTCCCTTCCTAATATTTACTTCTCTACGTTGCAGCTCCATCTCTATAACTGCTTGTTGCTCTTTATACAAACTGAGTATCACTCTTCTTTCTCTGTAACTCACCCCTACATTTTTAAGTATATTTAACATCTTCTCCCATTTACACCCCATATCAAAACAGTAAAGATTGCGCAGAATCTACGTTCCTAGATTAATCAAACATCTGTTTCGTCATTTTAATCAATTTGAAGAAGACCATAATATATGGGCGAAACTCTGATTTATTGAAAATAAATATTGTTTTTTACCTGATCGAATTCTAAATAAGTTATTTCAATAAAGATTTGTACCCATTTTTGGAATATATACATAATTGATTTGCCAACGTTTCGAGTGGCAGCTTAGACTTCTTCACAGCTCTGTAGCAATTTTCCAGAATCCAAAATTTATATTTATTTTTAATTTTTTTGTAAAAAAATTGTTGAAAAATTGTTGCAGAACCCCCGAAGAACTCGGCCATCAACGAGCTTTTTATTGAGATTTTAATTTAGACTTGTTATTCTCAGATCGGTTTCTTAAGTTTTAGTTGCAATATCATCTAATAAATTCAAACGCACACCTGTATTATTTGAAAAAGAGGAAAATGCAATCAATATAATCCTATGTGCATTTACATATGTAACATTTTAAATGTCATGCATTTAATAAACAATATTAAGACGCTTTGCTTGACATTTGATTTACATCTTCACGGATAGACCTATTCGAGTATGTGACGACAAGACATGAAAATTTATTGTATATTATGGAACTAGTTTCAATCTAATTAAATTTAGGACACAATCGCACACTTTTATACGACCACCACCCAAACTGATTGCAGAACTTTTTGCTATAAAAAGAGAAATCAAACTGCTATCTTCATCAAGTCGTGAGAGAACTAAGCAAACTAAAACAGCAGCAATGGTAGCTAAGGTAACAAGTGATTGTTTTTTGTGTTTAAATTGTTTTTCGAACAAGTGAAAACTCTGCGCTTTTATTATTAAGAAAAACAATTGATTTTAGTATTGATTTCTTTTTTTTGTGACAAAATTTCTAATAAGAAAAATTTTTTTACTTAAATAATTTTTGCATGTTGCATCTATTCGTTTTCATTTAATTTATAATAAATAACGAATAGTGCATAATGTGACAGTTTCAGAAAGCTTAGGCAATTTTGCTCTTTTACTTGATGGAGTTGTTGGTAAATTTCCAATAATGCAAATTAGTATTCGGTGTCATTCATAATTTAATGAACACTTCACAAAAGTTTCTAATACTTGCTTTATCATCTGAAGAATCGATTTTAAAGTGCATTGTGACATTCGGTATTTAAAAATTAGGTAGAAATCGATCAATCATCAATTTATCGTATTACATCTGTTGTCCGATTATGCAAAGCTTTAAATTTATTAAAATCTTAATATAAGTTTTTTAATGTTATTAGGTAATCGTCTTCTGTGCCATCTTGGCATTCGCCAGTGCTGGCAATTTAGCGACCGAGACCTATTCTGCCCCTGCCGCCGCGCCTATTGCTTTTTCAGCTGGTCCAGCGGTTTCCTATTCCGCTCCTGCTGTCTCATACTCTGCCCCAGCTATCAGCTATGCCGCTGCTGCCCCAAACTTCGCCTACAGTGCCGGAGCTCCAGCTTTAGGCTACGCTGCTCCAGCTATCGGTTACGCTGCTCCTGGTCTCAGCTTTGCCGGTCCAGCAGTCAGCTACGCCGCTCCAGCTGTTAGCTACGGTGCTCCAGCTTTCGCCGCCGCCCCGGCTGTAAACTACGCCGCCCCGGCTGTAAGCTACGCCGCGCCAGCCTTTGCTGCAGGACCGGCTATAGCGGCCGCTCCGGCTTTTGCAGCCGCTCCGGCTGTTCAAATTGCAGCTGCGCCCGCTCCGGCTGTACGTTTTGCTGCTCCAGCTGTCCGCTTCGCTCCTGCCGCGCCGGCTGTTAGGGTAGCCCCACCCTCAACCCGTTATGGAGCACCTTTCATCCCCGGACCTCCAATCACATTGAACAATAGATGGTAAAAACGGCAATTTTTGTTTTGTATTACTGCGTACAATTTTGTAAATTAATTGTTATTCAATAAAATGATTTTTATATAAATCGTTTTTAGTTTTGCGTTAAGTGTTCTGTTGAATATAAAACAATACCTAAAGGGAGTCTGGCCTAAAGTTCGCCAAAAAAGGGATTTATAAACAAAAGAGATTTCGTTTCAATCAATTTATTTACACAACAAATTTGCCAAGTTGCTGGAGAATTGTAACAAATAAATAAAGTTTAAACAAAGATATCAGTCGTGATCGTCGCCGGTGGCTGAACTTGTTGCTACCATCGCCATTTACTACGAAAATTATTTTAAACACAGCAAATACGAAATTGAATTACAAACAAAGCAGTTATTATTCGCTTATTTTTAAAACAATATTCAAGCGGGGGTGGTAGTAAAAAGTTCAGTCGTCCAGATACCTTTTACCATTCGTAGCTGCCAAAGTTTGCGGCATAGGTGACATGGGCGACCGCCGGAGCCGCAGAATAAGCAACTCCCAAGAGTGGTCCGGGTGCGGCGTGGACAGCTGGGGCGGCATAGGCCACGGGGGCGGCTGGGGCGGCATAAGCCAGGGGAGCGGCCGCAGCGGCAAATTTAACACTCGGATTTGATACGCGAACGTCGGCCTTGCTTACACTAGAGAAGGGTGTATCGATGGTTTTTGTGTAGGTCGACACCTGTCCCAAATTCCCAAAGCTTCGATGGATGTTGCTGGATTGGGAGGTGATGGCTCCGGTTGCATACTGCGCGGCGCCTGCAGAGTAGGCAAACGGTGTTGGCTGAGCTGCGTATGCCACAGGCGCTGAATGGGTTGCATACGCGACAGGCGCCGAATGGGTTGCATAAGCGACAGGCGCCGGGTGAGCCGCATACGCAACAGGTGTAGGATGGGCTGCATACGCAACAGGTGTAGGATGGGCTGCATACGCAACAGGTGTAGGATGGGCTGCATACGCAACAGGCGCTGGGTGAGCAGCGTATGCAACAGAAGGTGGCGGGGGACCGTAAACTGCGGGTTGTACGGATGCAAGATGAACCCCCGGGTTTGACACGCGTACGTCTGCTTTGCTCACGCTCGAAAATGGGGTGTCAATTGTTTTGGAATAGGTGGAGACTTGACCCAAGTTACCGAAACTGCGGTGGATGTTGCTCGATTGAGATGTGATCGCTTGGGTACTGAAGGGGATGTTGTAGGAGACGACGGGGGAGGAATATGTTATGTGGGATATGGAGGGAGCTGCGGAATAGGCTAGGGCGGGGGCGGTTGACACCGTTGGTCCCGGCGCGTATGTCGCGGGAGCGCCAGCGTGGGCGACGGCCAGTGAGACGCAAAGAATGAAGATCTAAAACAATTGGGACAAATTAATGAGATGAAATTATTGGTTTGAATTATATGCCTTAATTTATTTTTGAATTGAAAAAGTTGTTAAGATTAATCTATTCTCATGGGGTTATTGATTGATAAAAGAAACTGCGCGAAAATGATTATTGTTATTATACTATAATAAAAAAAGAAATTAATATTAAAAATGTCTGGTCCAAACTTACCCTGAATGACATGGTTGGTAGTTGTATGAATCCGCAGCAATAATTGAAGTTATTGTTTGGACTGTGACAACTTTTCGATAATGTTATGTTTTTATACCCCAAACTTTTGAACAACTTTCGGTGGTTGGCCTGATTAAGACCGACTCGTACGTGTAATGAGCAAGTAGCCGATATAATGGACCAGTTTCATAATCAAATTGTCTCCTTTTTAAATGTCAAGTTCGATTTCTGCGAAATATGCCGGTAAAAACACACGCGCTCTACAGGGTGTTCCCCGCACGTCGTGCAGCGTCCAAACGGAAAATTATACGTTAAAATTCACGATTAGTGGACAATCGGATTCGTTATTTAAATAGATCATTACAATTATAGTTCCTGTTTCTTACCTTAATCTACAATTGCGAATAATTAAACCTGAAGAAAATTTAATTTTTGTGACAACGCAAAAATTACAATTTTCGATTGTAAATGACTAAATTTGCTGTAGAAATAATAGAGTTTATTAAGTAGCTTGTAATAATCTCAATTTTGACATGTTTCTTTAAAATTATTTCAAGTTTCTTAATTATTATAATTAAATTTGTAGATAATATCAACTAAAATATTTAGGTAAATTTTCCTTTTTCATTTTTTCCGTGAAAACAATAATAGGAGATGAAGACAGCCGACGTTTCGCTCTTAATACAGGATTTTATCAGGGTGAATTTTTTGGCCACTACACGTTATCACCTTTGTAACATGATGTATTGACCTTGATAAAGTTCTGTAAATAAGGGTGAAACATCGATTGATGGTTTTATAAGAAAAAATAACTTTTCACTCCATATTTATTTTATTTCAAAAACAAAAGATGATTATTTGATTGGTTTTGATAGGATACACAACCCTCGGCGCACTTATCAATAATAAATTGATATTCTCATTCAAACAAAACAAAACGATACTTTTTTGTGTATTACTTTATAGTAATAGAAAGTTTAAAGTTTATTTAAATTTTAATAAAGGCATTTATTTAACTTTTAAATTTTATTATTATTAAAAACTACCATCAAGGTGCCCAAAACAAAATTAGCTTCCAGTTGAAGTATTGCAATAGCATTTTTTTTATCACATGAAACAAGAAATTTTCTTTTTCCTTTTTTCTCTTACTTCACGAATTAAGAAATTTGAAAAGGTTAATAAACAATGAAAGACTTAACAAGAAGTAAATATATCGAGATTGGGTGTACCTACGCACACTTGTTTGACCTACTATTTAAAAACTCGTAAGATATTACAAGAAAACTGGTTTTTAAAATCATTTCACTAAATACTGTGTTATATCATTATGAAAAGAATTGTGCTTTTCTTTTGGTCGCTTTTTTCACTCCAGATTCGTATGTTTAAACCAGCAGTCAATTCTAACTTTAATATCAGCGATTAAAGTATTTATCAGAAAACCATTCTGATATTTAGAGGGTTGAAATGGGAAAATAAATTAACAAAATATTTTTAAAACGTTATACATTCTTCTATTTACTACTAAATAGTCCTATTACTATTTATCTATCTAATACAAAGTAATTTCAACTTTTACCCGATGTTTAAACATACTTTAACTCAGTTACACGAGTTTGGTACCCCAATGAAATTTAATTTAAAATTTAATTTTTACCGCCGATTTTTTTATATAAAATGGCATTTGCAAAAATTAGATTTTTGAGCTGTGGAAATTTATATTTGGTGGAAGTAATCCTGTGTCCCCTGAGTCATTCTTTGCTCTGATTGGTCCAAGTTATTTTTAGCGAACGAAGTAACACATCAGTGTTTTTTTGACAAGAATTTATCCTGTTTAAAATTAATTGTAGGTAAGTTCTATAATTTTTGCTTTTGAGATTTCCGAAATACTGCAATTCAAAGTTTAGATTTAATTTTTTATTGCAGCGATACGTAACCTTACCTCCAAACATGAGCCTTCAGTGGACTTTGATAGCTGGCTTTTTATATCTCGAAATTGTGATTGTATTGCTCTTGGTGCTTCCTATTGCAAGTCCCAGACGATGGAACACTTTTTTCAAATCCCGATTCTTGCAAGGCATTCAACAACAGGCTGGTATTTATTTTGTGGTGCTTTTAGCAGTGTTAGTTTTGTTCCTGTTGGATGCCATCAGAGAAATGAGAAAATACTCTTCACCGGGTAATTTTTTGAGACAATTTGAATCTCATATGCATAGCTTATTAAAATGTTTAATTAAGAGGTAACTGACCATCAACATTTGGATGCTGAAATGCAGGGAAATATGAGGCTATTCCGGGCTCAAAGGAATTTCTATATCTCAGGCTTTGCCCTGTTTCTTTGCTTGGTAAGGGCTTTTGATGTAGTATTACTGTAAGTAAAGATTACAATATATATTGGGAACTGCAGGTGATCAGGAGATTGGTTACATTGATATCACAACAGGCCAGTTTGCTAGCTCAGTCGGAAGCTGCAATGAGACAGGCTCAGAGTGCTTCAACTGCTGCAAAGACTTTACTGGCACAAACAGGGGCCTCTAATGACAATGAAAGCAATGAGGCTCAAGATAAAGAGGTAAAGAATACTTATTTCAATTGCTGCTTCACGTCCCTTTTTTATCTATTCCAAATTTCTCGTTAGTTTGGGGGGTAGTACTATATACTATATTCTATTAATTCTTCAATAATCTCTATCTTCTGATAGATTTCCTATCTGCCTTTTAAATTATATTCCATTTTGCCATGTTGCAGTGGTTTGTTAATGTGAAATATTTATTAAATATTGCAGGCTGTGAAACTTATTTTAAAATACTTCCTACGGATAGGATCTCTATCTTACTTTGATCGCAAATGGCTATCTGGCACTCATGTTGGTATTACGTTTTGCATGATTTGATACTAATTATCACAGTATTTTATATACGGGTTTATAAATGCTTCTGTGCAATATAATTCTATTAATTTTCAGTGTTTTTATGACCAAGAAAATGGCAAAAACTGCTAATAAAATTAATCTTTTTGGAATATTACGTAATTAAAATCATGTAAACAAATATTTTTTCCTCTTTAACAAGAGCTTTTATCTTATGTTGGCTTATTAACTTTATCTCCTTTTATTTGCCATATTAACCAATGCTTTAGACATTCTATTAGGATATTGACTCTGCTAAAAATTGGTACTTTTGACCTCTATTATGACCAATTTTGGAAGTCTCGTTTTTCTTAAGCTTTAGTTTTTATGTTTGTTTGAAAATTAAAGAGCAAAAGTTTTAAGGAAGTGATTGATTTTCCAGTTACAGGTGTCTACACTAAGAAAGAAAATTACAGAGCTCGAAGATAAGTTGAAATCTGAGTCAAAAGACAAACATGCTGTTAAGGAACAGGCTGAAAACATTACAAAAGAGTATGATCGTTTGTTGGAAGAGCACAGCAAATTACAAAAGAAGTTGCTGGCAAGTGGGGATTCTGACAAGAAAGCTGACTGAATCTGTTATTTATTTATTTTTTTTTCTTCATTTAGGTTGTTGTTATTAAGGCATCATTCGAATAGGAGTTTTAAGGGAGCTTTCATAATTAATTATTATAGGCGTCTTTATAAAAATTTATGTTATATTGTCCTCTATGCAGGTGTTCTGTATTGCACCTATTAGCTTCTTTAAAATATAATTGAAGCAAAACAATAATTTATATAATTTGGTATGTTAGTTTTGTTTATATATTTCTAAAATAAAAAGTTAAAATGAGGCAAGCCTTTTAGTAATTTCTCATTCCTTATTAAATAAGTTATCCTTGTTGTAATTCATAATTGCATCCAATTTTACTCCTCAAAATAGTACTGAGGACAAATATTGTGCTTTTACTATGCAATTATAGTATATATATATTTTATTGATTCTGTGGGCCAATTTGTCCTATAGTTTGCATTTGAAGAGCCCCAACTGCAGTCAAATTGTAATCTCTAGTGTACTATGGGTACAGTACTTTAAATGATATCCAAATCAATAAAACAACATTTTTATTTTATTCCCTTCCATTCATAATATAAAAAAGTTTTTACAAATTAAGAACAAATCTGTCAATGTTTTTTCTAATGTACCTGTTGCCTCCTCATCCTCCTTTCTATTTTTTTCTGCTTCTTGGATTCAACTTCTGAATCTGTAGGAGCTTGTTGAAAGAAGTATGGTGCCAATATGTTTTTCCAAAGTAGCCAAAAGCCTCGAGCAGGTGCCAACAACCACAACAACCAGAAATAATTGGAAACTACTGAAGACAACAATTGGCATCCTGCTGTTAAAATGATTATATCTTTGACGTGCCTGTAAATAAACTTAATAATTAATAACTACAATTGTTATTTATGATTTATTTACTCTCCAATGCCACCTTCCATGTTAAGATCTACACCACTATCTAGAAGTTGCCCAGATTCTGTGTACTTTGGCTTGGACATGTAAACCATAAATTGATAAGATCCAATATATACAGCACAGGCAAATAAATATAGGACCTAAATAGAAAACCACAATCAGTAACATATGCCTGCAGGTTTTCATATCTACTCACTATACTAATAGGAGAATTATAAAAGACTAGAATTATTAACGATATAGAGTTCGAAATTATGGCCATATTTCGGTAGTAACTTAACGTTGATACATTTTCTTCTACTATCTGTTTCACCCCCTTGGTACCCTGCTTTCCTTTTTGTTGTGACTAAAATTAAAGTATATGCTCAGTTTGGGTGTAAATTCACAAACAATTACTTTTACCATTTTAAAATGTTTGTTTAAAGAGTAATTTTTTCACGTGTAAGTAAAAAAGATCATAACATTATCTAAAAGAAACACAAATTTATCAAATTATAACCTGTCATAACCTCATCTAACGTCGTTGCTGACATTTATAGAAATGGCACCATAGATATCCTAACTATAGATAAGGAATAGAATACCTGCAAATACTATCATTTAAACTTAATAAAAGGATAAGTACTTATAAATTTTTGAAATCAGAATTGCTAACGTTTTACTTTTTTATTCTTAATAAAGGAATTAATTTAAAAATAAAAAATATCTTACTTACTTATGATTTTCTATGGATAATGATATTGGACTTTATGACATTTGACGGATGTTATTTGTATTATTTATTGTTCGAGTTTGTTATTAAATTTTTTTGTAATTATCGTAATTATATTGCGGATTTACTTATTATGAGCGAGTGTGTGACTGAGATTAATGCTTTGTCGTATAAGGTGAAAATGACGTTAAAAATGCGTTTACCAAGTTAAAGGGTTTTAACCTCAAAATGGATCTCTTGAGGCCCCCTTGAAAATTACCCTTATCACTTTAATTAGTTAAAATAGTCACCGTACAATGATGGAATACGAATATTCGGTATTTCGTAAAGAGATTGACTTGCACAACAAATGTTGTGGTGGTATGTTTTGGTGCATTCGTGACATTTGTGGTATAATTTGTGCTATACTCACATGGATGCTAATATTGTATGCTGAATTTGTTGTAATGACCGTTATACTGTTCCCTAGCCCCCATCAAATATATAGTTTTATAAACATGGTAATTTTTCAGTGTTGTGCATTTCTAGCTTTTGCTTCTCATTTGAGGACCATGTTCACAGACCCGGTAAGTTATTCATTCACATTTGTATTTATTTTACAACCCATCAGTAGCTCTAAAACAGAAACCAAATTGTAACAAGTTACATGTATTTGGCAGGGAGCGGTCCCCAAAGGTAATGCTACTAAAGAGATGATAAAACAGATGGGGTTCAGGGAAGGACAGGTCATTTATAAATGCCCAAAATGCTGCAGTATTAAGCCCGAAAGAGCACATCATTGCAGCGTTTGCCAGAGGTAAGTGATCAAGCTGTGTAACAGTGGAGTATTATAAGCCAGTAATTTTGCAGGTGTATTAGGAAAATGGACCATCACTGTCCGTGGGTGAACAACTGTGTTGGAGAGAACAATCAAAAGTACTTCGTTTTATTCACAGTAAGAATATTGGTCGTCTTTGAATTTTGTAATTAAAGTGACACGTACTTTAATTCTTTTTTTAAGTTCTACATTGCAACTATTAGCATTCATTCTCTGTTTCTTGCAATCAACCAGTTTCTCACGTGTATTCGTAACGAGTGGAAAGACTGTACAACGTATTCACCTCCAGCCACTGTCGTGCTCTTACTCTTCCTCATTTTCGAGGCTTTGCTGTTCGCAATATTCACCGTTGTGATGTTAAGCACCCAGGTGCAGGCTATTTGGTATGACGAGACAGGCATAGAGCAATTGAAAAAGGAAGAGGCGCGGTGGGTGAAGAAATCACGTTGGAAAAGCATCCAGGCTGTCTTCGGACGTTTCTCTCTAGGATGGTTTTCGCCCTTCGCAGGGCCCACAGCCAAAGCGAAATATGAAAACTATCTTTATTCTGTTTAGCGAAACATTTCTAATTCTTTTGTTTTATTTGATAAGCCTTATTATTCAGTATTTGTAATTTATACTATGCATCCATACTTAAATACGTGCATTAATAAATAAAACTTCGATGTTTATGTAAATTATTTTAAAGTATCGGGTACTTAGGTATTATTGTGAAATTATTGATTGTCCTGCACGGTTTGATAACGAAATAATGCGAAAATGACGAATGACGTGATGTCTTATGTACGTGGCATGTTTTTGACGAAAATTTGTCGTCATTTTTGGATTTTTTGTGGCCGTGGAGGTCGCCTCGTGATGAGATTGAAATTAATAATATACGTATTATTGAATAAATTGCCTATCTGACAAAATATGTTTTTTATTTATGATATTCCCCAAAGAAAGTTAACAAAACGTTACTGAACTCTCCTAAATATAAATAACAATTTTCAAACCGAACTGTGCACAGAAAATCAAATATTTTTAAAATTAGTGGTTTCACTGTTATATTTATAACCTACAACATATTACTTTCCAATACAAGCATAAGAAACATTAAAAAACATATAATATAGGTTCTAGATGTCTTATTAACGTCTAAAAAATTTTATTATTAAAACAAAAGTGTAATTTTAATGATTGAATTAAGACGTATAAGTATTTACGTAATTACAACCTAAAAGTTGATGCAACGAAGTGCACCATACTATGCATCGCGGGTGACTAACTTACGCATGCAATTTTCATTGATATAAACAGGTTGCGTACACCTGATTGGCTACTACGGCGGCGGCCATCATGGAATCTCCAAAACTAGGTCAAACGCAGGACATTGCACTTCAAGGTAGGCGCCACTTAAAAGAATTTTAACGTAATGAAACTTTCACAAGGGGTTGCTCATCTATTTATTAACCGATTTACATGCGGTTTTTACCAAAATTTAGGAAATTTAACGCTGTTTAATACGAACAGAGAATAGATAATCTTAATTCACAAAAACTCGGTTATAGAAGTTGAATTACATTTTACACTAGGTTTGTAGTCGCTAAATAGCTATGAAAATAATCATAAGCAACCGTGAGGGGTAATTGTGTAATTGTTTTATGCTTTTTCTGTATCACTGCTTATGAATAAACATTATTATTGAAATAAATTAAACAGTAAACATACCTGATAACACATTTATAATAAATAGTTAATTTGTGGTTTTGGCTTTCATTCCTCACACCGACTGTTGCAAATAACTTATTCTCGTTTTCGTAAACATTTTATTTGAAGATAAAATGAACTAAAAATGAGAAATATCTGTCGGTCTGTGTGATATTATTAGTATAACGTATTTGTCACAACGTTATATTTATTAGAGGCCACATATGTGTGTGTTATATATTTTTGTATGTATGTATTAATATATAATGGCTTGTTTTAATACATGTCTGTTAGTTATCAAAGGATAAAGATTATAAAATAAGTCCAAGTATATAAATTGTTTAAAACGACATGTAATTACTGTATGCAACACGTTTGTAACCAGAATTTTCTACAAACTAATTTAAAAAGAATCAAATTCTTTCTCCGATGGGAGTTATTGTTAATTCTTGAATCTGGAACAGATACGTAGTGTTAAAAAAGAAATCTGATAATTTCATTAAGTTTGAAGGTAAAAGTGAAGCAAATAGAAGAGTTGATCATAAAAATCGTACTTGAACGTGAGGAGGTGTTCCTAAAACGTACGAAACGGCGTCAGCTACATCATCAGCGTTTAATATTGGCTCGTTTCGTATCCATTGAATTTCTTTCCCTGTCAATTGAGCTTTTTCGTGTATTTCAGTTATCACCAAACCTGGACTTATACTCTAAAACAAAAATAAATTTAGTATGCGGTCCTTTGTCCTTTACTACCAAAACCTTCGGTTAAGTTAAGATCATAAGATAAAGACAACACAAACGAAGTGTGTTACCGTGGTCTAGTCCCTCTGTCCAAGTCGATAGACCACATATTAAAGCAGATGCTTGTTTATGAACCAACTTCTATAGGGTTGTTCGGAAAGTCATTTCGTTTTTTTTTGTGGAAATGAAAGACAGTTTTCGTATAATAAACAAATACTTTATTAAATTATATATTGACCGTTCTGGTCCAACACCTTTTGCCATCTTTCTGGTAGTAGCATAATTCCACGCTCATAAAATTTTTGGTCTTTGCTGGCAAAAAACTGATCGAGGAGGTTTTTGACCTCCTCATTTGAGGTGAAGGTTTTACCGTCTAAAAAATTTTGGAGTGACCGGAACAAATAATAATCCGATGGTGCCAGGTCTGGAGAATATGGTGGGTGTAGCATTGTATCCCATTCAAGCTGTAAAAGCTTTTGGCGAGTGACCAAACTTGTGTGAGGTCTCGCGTTGTCTTGGTGAAACACTACACCTTTCCTGTTGATTAGTTCTGACCTTTTCTGTTGAAGTGCATCATTCAGTTTGTCCAGCTGATGACAGTAGACTTCCGAATTAATCGTTGTGTTATCCGGTAAAAGCTAAAAAAAAACGATTCCTTTAAAATCCCACCAAACAGACAGCATCACCTTTTTTTGGTGAATATCGGCTTTGGAAATGGTTTGAGCCGGTTCATCTTTTTTGCTCCATGACCTCTTGCGTTTGACGTTGTTGTATACAACCCATTTTTCGTCCCCAGTGATGATGCGCTTCAAAAACGGATCATTTTCGTGACGTTTGAGAAGCGAATCGCAGACGTCAATGCGGCGACACAGATTTCTCTCTGTGAGAACATGGGGAACCCATACATCGAGCTTCGAGGATAATCCCAGGCCTTTCAAGTGGTCATAAACTGTTGAATTTGATAAATTTAACCTCAATCCGATCTCACGTGTTGTTATTCGCCGGTTCACATCAACTAATGCCTTTATCGCGTCTTTATCAGCTTCAACCGGCCTTCCCGAACGTGGTGCATCTTCGACATCAAAATTGCCGGATCGAAATTTAGCGAACCAGTTCTGGCACTGGCGTACTGTCAACACACCTTCTCCATACACATCAGTCAATTTCTTTCTGGCTTGAACAGCATTTTTACCCTTTCTGTAGTAAAACAGTAAGATATGTCGAAAATGCTGCTTATCGCTCTCCATATTTAAAAGGGCACCAACCAAAAACTACTGCGTAGAATTAATTGGAATTTTTCACACACAAGCCTTGCTATATGAGCTCTCAAAGCATATAAAAATTATACGGCTTAAATGTGAAGTTGGGTGCAAAAGAATACAATTAAATCCTCTGTGGGGAAAAAACGAAATGACTTTCCGAACAACCCAATAGTATATCACAAAGAATTATATGTGTCTATATCATTACCTAAGATCTGTAATCCATATTTTGTAATCTATAAACTTACTGAGACTTTAATTTTAAGTCTGTTTTTCCTAAGTTCGTCCCTTAAATTATCGCCCAAAGCAGTAACAGCATATTTACTGGCAGAGTAAACGTTCATATGGGGTAGACCGACATGCTTGTGACCAGCCACGCTGTTTATGTGAACAATGTGACCCTCTACGTTATTACTTTTCATATTTTTGACGGCTTCTCTCGTGGCCACACATAACCCAAGAACATTAGTTTCCAATATTTCTTTCCAAGTTTGAGCGTTTCCGCTGATTAGAGAACCAGACCTACTTATACCGGCGTTATTGATAAGAATGTGGACGGGACCCAAGTTATCCTTTATCCAATCGAATGCTTTGATGATGTCGTCTTCGACTGTAATATCTACTTTAAGTCCATATAATTTTCCTTTAGCATCTTCTAATTTTTTGGCGAGATTTTCAACCCTCTCTACTCGACGAGCGAAACCTGCCACCTGGTAAATTTAGTTGTTTATTTTTTTGGGGTTACAAGTCTAACTTTTAACCCCCGATGCGAAAATTGCGAGCACTAACAATAAACCGATATTATACTTGGTTTACTTTCTGTAGCAATGTGACCTTCAGTTTGAACGGCGCAAAGTAGAAAAGAACAGCACTAGGCCAGAAAAGGAAGGAGACAACTCTCGGCCAAACTCATAACCTGTGAGGAGCGTATAATGCGTACAGTACTGCACGGAAAAATTGACCATTTTACCTACTACAATTGCATTGCTCAAATGTGCTGTTATTGGTACCATTTACTACTGAAAATATCAACGAAATGTTTATTTATATTTGAAGACATATTAAAGGCTTTAACGCTTGTTTTTTACCTGCACTACTATTCATGATTGAACAAAACTTTTGGCAGGTACTGTATGAAAAAGCATGTTTAATGAACAAGAGTCGAGAATATAACGACCTTTTTTCTCCCCACATACGATTTTGCCAGCGCGCATTCAAGACATTGGAAGGCACACCGCTAGAGAAAGTAAATGAAGTATAATATAATTGAGCAATTATTAATATATCTAGACTTGATTGGATATAAAACAATAATAAATCATCTGTTCTTACTATTATTCCATTTCGAACTAATTTTTCGGCAATAGAAGCCCCGATTCCTGCACTAGCCCCTGTTACAACAGCGACCTTGTTAATCCAACGGTCCATATGACTTCGAACAGGAATGACCGACTAGTTTTCTCAAAAAGACGCCGTAGAAAATTGCAAATTTTAACATATCTACTGCATGCATTTTTTCAGCAATTTAACAAACAAAAGTTATTTCAGTGATATGGAAATGTTAAGATTTAGGTGCTTTTTCTTTTTGAAGGACACAACACATATTTAAATCATACACATATTTTGTAGATAAACTCGAAACTGCAAAGATTATAATATAACAATTTGTAAAAGTAAAGTATTAACAATCTTTATGCTTTTTTATTTTTATGTAATTGTGTTATTTTTTTTTGCAAAAGGTCGAAGGGAACAAGACACTTAGTTCACAAAGGTTTTATTTCAAGGATACAGAACTGGTGGCAGCAACAAAAAATGAACTAAATTAGAATAGTCTTTTCAGTATTTGGACGTATCTAAACTGCGTCTGTGACAGGGAACAATGTTATTTCAGCCACCTATAAAAATATGCATACGTATAGAAATTAATTATCTGTTAATTATCTATTAACAGAGGATAGAAAAAAGGGCGGGAAACCATTAGGGGAAGATCAATTTGGGTTTACAAGAAATAGAGGAACGTGGAAGGCCATTCTAGCTTTACGGGTAACAACAGAGAAAACGATAAAAAAAAGAGTGCGTACATAGGATTTGTAGATTTAGAAAAAACTTTTGACAATGTTAAATGGGACAAGATTTTAAATATATCTAAAAGATGTAGGGATAAGTTGCAAGGATAGAAGAGTGATACTTAGTTTGTATAAAGAGCAACAGGCGGTAAAAGCTGAAAAAAAAACGATTCCTTTAAAATCCCACCAAACAGACAGCATCACCTTGTTTTGGTGAATATCGGCTTTGGAAATGGTTTGAGCCGGTTCATCGGTTTATAAATGCTTCTGTGCAATATAATTCTATTAATTTTCAGTGTTTTATGACAAAAAAAATAGCAAAAACTGCTAATAAAATTAATCTTTTTGGAATATTACGTAATTAAATTCATGTAAACAAATATTTTTTCCTCTTTAACAAGAGCTTTTATCTTATATTGGCTTATTAACTTTATCTCCTTTTATTTGCCATATTAACCAATGCTTTAGACATTCTATTAGGATATTGACTCTGCTAAAAATTGGTACTTTTGACCTCTATTATGACCAATTTTGAAAATCTCGTTTTTCTTAAGCTTTAGTTTTTATGTTTGTTTGAAAATTAAAGAGCAAAAGTTTTAAGGAAGTGATTGATTTTCCAGTTACAGGTGTCTACACTAAGAAAGAAAATTACAGAGCTCGAAGATAAGTTGAAATCTGAGTCAAAAGACAAACATGCTGTTAAGGAACAGGCTGAAAACATTACAAAAGAGTATGATCGTTTGTTGGAAGAGCACAGCAAATTACAAAAGAAGTTGCTGGCAAGTGGGGATTCTGACAAGAAAGCTGACTGAATCTGTTATTTATTTATTTTTTTTTCTTCATTTAGGTTGTTGTTATTAAGGCATCATTCGAATAGGAGTTTTAAGGGAGCTTTCATAATTAATTATTATAGGCGTCTTTATAAAAATTTATGTTATATTGTCCTCTATGCAGGTGTTCTGTATTGCACCTATTAGCTTCTTTAAAATATAATTGAAGCAAAACAATAATTTATATAATTTGGTATGTTAGTTTTGTTTATATATTTCTAAAATAAAAAGTTAAAATGAGGCAAGCCTTTTAGTAATTTCTCATTCCTTATTAAATAAGTTATCCTTGTTGTAATTCATAATTGCATCCAATTTTACTC